AGGCCTCTCCAGAAGAGGAAGAGGGGCCATTTTATCCACAGAGGCCACAAACTCCTTCCTGGGGAGACATTTGCAGCATCACTTGGCCCCTTTCTGTACCTTCCCGGGGGGGAGGTCCACCTAACCACATCCTGGCACCAAAGATAACGGCTTATGGGGGCTTCTGTCCTGTTGAGTCCTGTCCCCAAATGGAGGGGTGGTTCTTTTGAGGTGGCTGGGTCTGAGTCATATATGAATGTTGGGGACTGAGTGAGTGTTACTCCTATAACCTTTCTCCCTTACAGCTAAGAGGAAGAAGGCAGTCTGATGCAGCAGTTGGGCAGCTCATCCCTCATCCCTGGTATTCACCTGGGGGAGCCCCAATACTCTGGCTTGCTTGAGGAGCAGTAGCTGGTCTCTAAGCCCGATGTTGTCATGTCTCTGAGTACCTTTCTGTTAAGAAAACAAAAGGACATGTGGAGTCCTGGAGTTGCAGACTGTTTGCACCACGGAAATCATTGCATCGAATCCTCTCATGGCCAAAGGAGGGAAGCAGAAAAAGAGACTTGCCCAAGGCCCATGGCAGATTAGTGTCCAAGCAGGGGCAGTGGCTCCTTCCACTCACCTTCTAGTCTCAAAAGTGCAGCCCAGAGCAGAGGCCTCTGCTTCTGTACACTGGGAAACAAGGCCTTGCTACCTCCATTGCCAGGCACATCTTTAGCCAGAGATGTGTCCAGAAGGAACTGACATCGCCTCAGACTCGAGAGGAAGTGATGCTCTTCTTGGGGTCTTGTTGAGGGTGTGACCTCTTTTTTTTTGAGTTGAAGTCTCACTCTGTGGCCCAGACTGGAGTGCAGTGGCCACTCCCGGCCACCGCAGCCTCAACCTGCTGGGCTCCAGTGATCCTTCCGCCTCAGCCTTCCAAATAGCTGGAATTACAGGCGCGTGCTACCATGCCCGGCTGAATTTTTGATTTATTGTAGAGATGAGGTCTCGCCAAGTTACCCAGGCGGGATTACAGGCTGAGCCACCGAGCCCGGCGTGACCTGCTTTAAACCTGACCTTACTTCCTTAAACTACGCATTGCCCCCTCAAAGTCTCATGCCTCCTAAAAGCTGCTCACATCCTCCTTCAGACCCTAGCCCACGAGGGCTCCTCCCTTTCCCCCTCCCCCAGCTCTTGGGGTCTCTCCCCATTCTTCACTTCAGTCCCCATTTCCACCTGTTACCCTCCGCAGGCCTGGTAGCCAAGCAACAAACACTTCCTCTTGAAAAGGTTAAACTTGTTCTGGTCACTGTCACCCTCCAGTCTGTGAATCACGCTCCCTTTCTCTCTTGCCTTGTGTTTTGAGCATGACTAACACAGAGAGAAGGGGGTGCGGGCGTTTGCATGTCTCAGAGAAGGATCCTTCACACTTATGATCAGATCCTAAGAGGCTTCGTACCCAGGGCACTACAGCCTCTGTCTGCCCCTCAGACTCCAGCTGCTCACATGGGCCTCTTCTCTCCTTGGACTTTTAGGCTTGCTTCTGCTTAGGGCCTTGGCTCCTTCTGTTCCCTCTGCCGGGAGAGTGTTCCCTTCACATTTTGCATGGCTGCTGCCTTTCCATCATGGAGGTCTCACCTCAACCATCACTATCCCCAAGAGGCCTTCCTTGACTACCTCATCTTATGTCACTAACCTCTACCACCTAGCATCACCTTCCTTTTGCTGTCTTCTAGCATCTGTTCCTGTCTGAATGTGTTGTTTATCTGTTATTGTGTGTTTGTTTACTCTGTTAACCTTGTCTGTCATTATTATGATGATGTCCTGGTGCTTGGCACTGAACAGTCATTCAAAGATTTCATGAAGGACACTAGAGAGGGTTAAGATGGAGACAGGGCTTGGATAATATGTAAGTCTTTTTACAGATAGGCCTTGCAGACTCAGGGCTTTCTTCTCAGCCCTGATGGGAAAATGGAGACTCCAGATCATGGGAGACTGGGGATCTCCTTGGTTAGGAATTAGGGGATCCCCCTCAGCCTCGGAGATATAGGAGCTGTGGCTGCCTGCTCTGCTCAGGGTGGGCGTTGATGTCTCTGCTTTGTTTATTACTGCTTCTTTGGAGGCTGTCACAGAGGTTACTTAGAAAACACCACCTACCCACCAAGCCTCACCCCAGGAGTGGGGTGTTGAGAACTTGCTTGGTGATGACAACACACACGCAAACACGCTCCCCTTCCCACTCCTCTCCCAGCATTCCAGGCAGGAGATAAGTAGGCAGTTCCTGGACTTCACAGAAGGAAAGAGGCAGTAAGTTTGGCACTGTACCCACTTACCTTCTTCCAAACTGCAATGTACCAGGAGGAGGGAAGCAGAGAGACAGGGGTGGGCCAGGCTGCCTCTCCAGGAGTTCATGTCCCCATTAGGAGGAAACTGTAGTGAGAGAGAGGAGAGAGCAGCTCCATCAGGAATCCAACTTGGCCTAGAGTAGGCCCTGTTAGGACTTCAGATTCTGTTTACCAACAGGCAGGAAGGAGCCTATTGTACTTGGGTTAAGGAAGCGGAAAGAAATCCCCTGAATAGGAGCTCAGGAGCCAAAAAGTGGGGCTCAGAAACAATAGCTAGGAAGGGAGGGGTGTAGGAAGCGAGGTCCAGACTGGCAAGGCTTATAGGAGAAATCCAGGTGTGCAGGGGCCACCCTCTGGGGACATTAAGAAAGGGAGGGAAGTCATTAATGGTCAGATATCTGCAGCAGGTCTGTCTCCCCCATACGAGGGAGCTGGCCTGGCAGTGTTCATTAGACATACTCCATGAACAAGGCTCCTACAGAATTGCAAGTTGAGATGAGATTTGGTAGGTGTGTCAGGCACCCAGCTCCCATCCAGGTGGGCCAGAGGACTCTGCAGTCAGGCTGAGTTTGAATACCTTTTCTGCTTCTTACGCACTGGGTGACCTTGGACCAGAACTTAACCTCTCTAAATTCTTCTATGAAATCAGAGCAGTGCCCACCTCATCAAGCTACTCTGGGGACTAAACCTGATGAACCATGTAATGCAAATGCCTAGCACAAGCCTGGCACAGTGTCCTACAAATGGTGGCCAGGGGATTTTCTGCAGCCTGGACCTCTGGTTCTGGCTTACGCCAGAGGCCTATATGAACACACACACATGGGCCGAAGGGCTCTGAGGGCTCTCAGGCGCTTTGGAATTTTGGCTTTCTGACAGTTTTCTATCTTTCTCTACTTCCCATGATCTGGGCAGGGATAATGTCCTGATCTATCAATTTTTAGAAAGATCCTGTTTTCAGACTGACTTCTTCAAAGAGGCAGCATCTACATTGGCAAGGTGGCTGCAATCCAAGTACACAGCTGACTTGAAAGACTTAAGTCCTGGAAGACTACATTTTTTTTCCCTCCTCTGGAGGGTGCTTTAGCTTGAAACATCTGGGTAACTGTTGAACACCTTCCTGTTTTGCAGAACATTCTCAGCATGGGGGCTGTTTGCATCTTTCTCTGGGCTGGTATTTATTTCAGGATTATCCAAGGACCTCATGCGCTATGAGGGGTCCTTCTCAGCCCACCCCAATCCCCACGCCCCCACTCCCACCCCACAAGAGCAGGCTCACCTCCCATTGCTTGCCCCTGCCACCTTGCCTGTCTCCCAGGTTGTGGCTCCTTGAGGGATTTCTTACATCTCCAAGAGAGGTGCTGCTGTGCCAGGAAGCAGGGTACCTCTCCGAGGGTGGGAGCAGTTCTCCTGAGACTGCATGTCGGTGAACCTTGGGAGGGATCCCCAAGGGGGAGGGCATAGACTATGGACAACGTGCATGTCAGGGGTTGTTATGGTCAGGCACAGTGGTTCATGCCTGTAATCCCAGCACTTTGGGAGGCCGAGGCAAGAGGATTGCTTGAGCCCAGGAGTTCAAGAGCAGTTTAGGCAACATAGCAAGACTTTGTCTCTACAAAATAATTAAAAAAAACCACAAAAACCTAGCCGGGCTTGGTGGCACGTGCCTGTAGTGCCAGCTACTGGGGAGGCTGAGGCAGAAGGATGGTCTGAGCCCAGGAGGTTGAGGCTATGGTGAGCTGTGATTGTGTCACTGCACTCCAACTTGGGGAACAGAGTGAGATCCCAACTCAAAAAGAAAAAGTTGTTATCTTTGGTGTCAGGATGGGGCAGAATGGGTGTGGAAAGCCTGGATTATTGACTCTTCAGCCGGGACCAGAGGAGGGTCAGTAGGGCCTGTAGCTAAGCTGACTTTAGGGCCAAGGTATAGTTGATTTAGGATTGGAAGCCTCAACTTGGACCATTAGACCCACTCTGGTTATGTTTTCTGCACTTCCCTTGGGCCTCCTTTTCCATTTGATACCTCTTTGCCAATGTTGGTCTGTGCCACAGCAAATAGAAGGAGAGGATTTATTCTTTGTCCTTTTACTAGAAACACAGGGGATAGGAATAGGCATCATGCCCCCTGCGCTTGGATGTGTTGGAGCAACAGAATTGGACCAAGGGAGCTCCCAGGGACCTGGACAGAGTAAGGTGCTGGCATAATTTGCCACTGTTTTACACAGGATGTCAGGACATTGGGTGGCCAAACTCAGGTCTTCAGACTCTTATTCCAGTACTCACTCCCTTGTATGAGTTTTTTTGCAGATGCCAGGGCATGAAACATTTCCAGTCCCTCATGTGTCTGAACAGTGTGTTAGACACATACAAAATAAAAGAATTCTGGAGCCAGGGACGGGGCTGGCAAGTGGTGGCAAGATAGGCAGGGCTGGAACTGGTGGTACCGGGAGAAGGCTAAAACTACTTGCTCTGGTGCCTGGGCACCGAAGGGGTACATGGGGAAGGAGGCAAAAGGGAGGAAGGGGGAGAGCAGGCATTCTGTGTGTGCACGTTCAGGAGGGTATGCACATGTGTGTCCAGATCCCGGGCCTGGCCACATCTGGAAGGGCTGAAGACAAGAAGGAGGCCTCGATATGTGGAATTTTATTGCAGTGAAGCAGGAAGGAGTTGGTCCCTTGGCTGCTTGACCTCAGGGGGAGAAGGGAGACGTGGGGGCCATGGGGAAAGAAACAGGCGGCCTCCCTCTCCATGGAGACCTCTGTCCATGTTGCCAGCGACCACAGGAGCGAGGCCTGTGAGATGGCAGCTGTGGGAGAATGAGTGCGGGCTGGGCCGGAGACGACCTTGAGAGAGAGGAGAGGCAAAATTGAGCTGGTGTCTGGTGTGGGGAGAGAGGAGGGGCAGGTAAGGAGGAGGGAGAAGGCTGAGAGATCTGGGGGGGAGGAAGTGGCGGGGAGGAAGTGGGGACGAGCCGTGGCCACCTCATGTCTGTCTGCCTCCCTCCTGGCCATAAGCAAGAAGGGCACAGAGACGGGCGTGTGGGGGTGGCACAGTGATGGAGGGGCATGTGTCCTTGAGCCCCGAGGTTTTCCTGAGCTGAGATCCTTCATTACCTCATGTGCCTCCTAAGGATACAGGCCCTCATCCTGCAAGGGACAGGCCCCAGACTCAGACTCTGACGGTAGCACCCTTTTTTCTAGCCTGGGAGATACCCTCTCCGTTCCTTGTTTTTCAGAGTGTTTTCTTTTGGGGAGGGGGGGGACACTAGTCCACTGCCCCAGGAGCTGGAGACAGGATTTCCCATTTCTCCGGCAGGAGTCCCCAAGAAATGATGGCTTTCACGGCGGCCCCAGCCCCATCTCATTTTAACATGTTCTGTATTGTATATGTGAAGTTGTCTTTTTCTCGGACAAGACCTAGCCTCTCATTTTCTAGCTGTTAAAATAGGGATGACAATTCCTTCCTCACAGAGTTGTTGGGACTATTGAATCCGATTCTGTATGTAAAAGAGCTTTGTAAAGTGCAAATGTACAGCCTAAACCGCAAGCAATGGCTATTCTCAGGGGGAGACAAGGGAAGGGGAAGAGTCCAGGCAAAGTCTGGGTGGGGAAATGCCCCCTGGATCCTGAACAGATTTAGCTCCAGCCCCTCCAGCAGCCCCTCCCACCTTCCATTCCCAGCCCCACTCCCCGCCCCCTCAGCCTTCCCTGGCCTCAGGCCTTGCTGGGTGACCTTCAGAAAAACTGAGGACCGGTGGACCGTGGAGTTGGGACAGGTGTAGAGCGTGGTCATCGCAAACTTGTCCTTTCTCTCTCAGAGAAGAGGGGTCCTGGCCTCTTCCCCTTGTCCTCCTCTCCCCAACCCTCCTGAAGGCCATGGGGTGCCCCCAGAGGAGGGAGATGCTTCCTGTCTTACAGGACTGGCAAGATAGCCACCAGGGGGTCTCCCCAGAGCACAGGTCCTCACCAAGGGCAAACCAGGTGCTGCCAGGGCACTGAGGACCTGGAGGAGTGAGGTTAGGAAAGCATGGTTTTTAGAGGAGGTGGGTTTTAAGCAGACCTGGACCGCTGCCTGTTGTGAGGTGTTCAAGATGGCCGCCATGCCTGGCTGGACCCCGCGGGCCCCTCCTGCTCTCTGGGCCGCCGTGTCTACCCTCTACGCCATCTCACCATCTTTACCATTCTGCAGGACGGGAGGACCTCATGCTGGGTCAAGAGGGGCTCTCTGCCTTCCCCGCCCATTGCCCAACTCTCATTCCTTCAGCTCTGAGAAATGGGAGCCCTAGATCCTCCACACCAAGATCAAGATGTAACAGGTGCTGGAGCCCACTTGAATTTCTCTCTCTCCCTCTGTCCCTCCCCTCCCTCCCTGGGACCGAGGGACAGATGCTCTGTTTAGAATTTCTTCAGGGAGAGAGCCAACAAGGGCATTCTTTCTATTCCTTGGGCTTCCCTAGCCAAAAATGGAGGATTAGTCAGAAGACAGCTGCTGAGGCAGCAGTCCTTAGGGAAATCCTACCCAGTGCAACAGCAGTGGCCTCAGGGAAGGAACCGTCTTGAGCCTGCCTCTTTTAATCAGGACTTGAAAGTAGTGTCTATATTAGAGTGTGCTGGAGAGCTGGACTTCAGACTCTGGTGAGACGGACATGGGTTTGAATCTTGGCTCGGTCACTTATCTGCTGTTTGGATTTGGGTCACTTCCCTTTCAGAAGTCTGTTTCCTCATCTGCAGTACAGAGAGAGACACCCCTGTTCGCTAGGGTTGTTGCTGGGATTAAAGGCATTGATGTACATAGAAGTTTCTATTATAGTGCCTAGCAAACTCCAGGAGTCCAGAGTTTGTTAGTTCCCTTCTCTCACAGTAGAGCAAGAGCCAGACAACTTTCTGTATCCAGCACAGCTGAACTGCGGGGGTGCTTCCAACACTCAGGAGCCCCAGTTCTGGAAGTAAGAAGAAACGTGTGTGTGTGTGTGTGTGTGTGTGTGTGTGTGTGTGTGTGTGTGTTTGAATGGACTTTTGTTTTTATTTATTTATTTTCAGTTGGAATCTCACTGTGTTGCCGAGGCTGGAGTGAGGTTGTACAATCCTGGCTCACCACAACATTGACCTCCTAGGTTCAGGCAATCCTTTTACCTCAGCTTCCCAAGGAGCTGGAACGACAGGTACACACCATCATGTCTGGCTAATATTTTGATTTTTAGTAAAGAAGAGATCTTGCTATGTTGCCCAGGCTGGTCTAGAAATCCTGGGCTCAAGAAATCCTTCTACCCCAGCCTCCCAAAGTGCTGGGATTACAGATGTGAGCTACCACACCTGGCCTGGATTGGATTTTTAAAAAAAAATTGGAGTCTTTCAATCCAAGGTCTCTCACAGTTGGGGAACTTAAGGCTTTCAGCTGTTAGTCACCTAGGCCTTGTCATAATTTTCTTTTATTTTTTGAGTCAGGGTCTTACTCTGTCACCCAGGCTGGAGTGCAGTAGCATGCATGGTCACAGTTCACTGCACTTCCTGGGCTCGGTGATCCTTCTACCTCAGCCCTCCAAGTATCTGAGACTACAGGTGTACGCCACCCGCCTGGCTAAGTTTTAAATTTTTTTTGTGGAGATGAGGTCTCACTATGTTGCCTAGGCTGGTCTCCAACTCCTGGGTTCAAGTAATCCTCTTGCCTCGGCCTCCCAAAATGCTGGGATTACAGACATGACCACTGCCCCTGTCTCTTGCCATAATTTTATAAAGATATGGATATGGAAGGGGATAGATTGGTGGATGAAATGGGGAAGGGAACAGAGACAGAGAACAGATGCACATGCACACACAGATTCTATTGTAACAAATTCCTTGGGAGAGAGCAGGAGGCCAAGAATGGGCTTGGTAGAGCCCTGCTGCTCTGAGAAGCAAGGAGCTTTGCTCCTGGGGTCAGGTGTGCTGACAGCCTTGGATCTCTAGACGAGAGGTTACACACCACCACAGCCCGAGCATACCTCTCACCACCTCCAAGACTTCCCACTGCATTTGTTACTGATGTTTTGAGTCTTGGTCCAAGCCTCTGTCAGCCTTGTGAGGTGGGTAAGTGGCTGATCTTCCCTAGTTCTTGATCTCTTCCTCTGAAGAATCTGAATGATAATCCCTGACTTGTCTGCTTTCAGGACCACTGTGAGGATCCAAAGTGCTCAGGGAGGTGCTAGACAGAGGTAGGAGGAGACAGATGTGGGTTCCCGTCTGTGTGACCCACAAGAAACACCTGTCCCTCCAGACTCGGGGACCACCTGGGGACTTGGGTGGTTGTCTTGGCAACCCATTGCCTGGCTAACTCCTACTCTTTCTTTGGGTTGCAGCTTAAACATCAGTGCTGCAAGGAGGCCTTCTGGACCCTTACAGACTCAGCCCACCTCTTGCAGCATCTTTCGTAGCATTCTATACGGTCTCTTTAATGTACTTATCATGAGCTGAACAGCTTGGTTATTTGTGTGATTATTTAACATTTGTCTTCCAAACTAAACTCTAAGTTCCACGAGGAAAAGGAATATGTTTCTGTTGTACACCATCTCATCGCCAGCACACAGCAGGTAGGTGCTCCACAAAATTCTTGCTGAGACATTAAGTGAATGCCCTGCCTCTCTCCTCTCTCATGCCCAGCCAACTTCTGATGCCAAGTGCCCATTGATCATATCCCTCTTGTCCAGTGTCTCCTGCCTTTGGCTGCTCCCCTCCCTCAGAATTCAAAGAACAAATCATTGACTGCATAATAGTTGCCTTTCTTCCCATCCTCCCAGCCCAGCAACCCGGACCCAGGATCCAAAGGGCTGCAGGCGAGTCATCGCTATGTTAATTTATCTTTGCACAAGGCTGCCCTCTGGTGGTTGAATATGCAGAAGCGAATGGGCAGGATGGAAACCCCCTGGGGCCAGGAGTCAGTCGGCTGAGCTATGCTTGAGACTGGCCAGTGAGCCAGGGAATAGGTAAGCACTACCAGAAGCGTGAAGATTCATGTCAGTTCTCCATCCTTATGCATGGCTCCCTCCAAATCTAACAGGGGGCCTGGCCTAGGAAGAGCAAGAAATTAAGGAACGCCCCAAAGGCACCCTACCTCAGCCCCAGCAGGGTGGCATGTGGGGACTGGGTAGCTATCTTAAGTAGTGATTCGTTCTCTTCAGTGATAGGCTAGCAAAACATTCAACAATCAGCTCTCTCTAAAAAAGAATCCTGATTTGTAGCATTTACCCCCTTTCCTGGTGTAAACACTCCTACCATGGCCCATGTTAAACTACCAATGTGATGTCACTGAACGAGGAGTCTGGAAGAGATGCCCAGTAGCACACCACTACAGAGAATTTGTCAGGGGTGGGGAAAAAAATTTAAAAAAGAATGTTCACTGTATAGATACCATGGACATAAACAACTTCAAGAGCATGATTAATAGTAACGTAATTGTGAAGTCATGAGTTTTGAGTATTTATTAGATAACGTTTTTAACTGCTTGTTTTCTAGATAACGTATTCAACTGCAAGTTTACATAATTTAATTCTTCACAATGACTGTGTTTAACTACTGACGCGCAAAATTCGAAACTCGGTTCCTGCAAGTAGTAAGAGCTGGCTCTGGCACACCACGGCTTCTCCTCCTCTTCTCCTTCCTCTTCTTTCTCTTTCTCCCTCATCCCCTTCCTCCTTAATGGTTTGCCTGGCATTCCATGTGGGTAGGAAGAATGGGGAATAAGGAAAAGAGCTTCGCTGCAGACCTCTGAACCAGGAGCCATGGGTGTTAAGGGAAGAGGATAGAGAGATGCAAATTTGGCTACTGAAGGACACTTTAGTGTGTGTGTGGGGGGGGGGGGGGGGTGTCTGTGTGTGCATATTTGTGTGGTTTTTGCAACTGGATCATGAGGCTAATTAGTGTCTGAACTAAAGACCACCACTTAGAGATAGGGGACTGGGGTGGCTTTGCCTATAATTCCAACACTTTGGGAGCCCGAGGCTGGAGGGTTGCTTGAGCGCAGGAGGTTGAGGCTGCAGTAAGCCACACGATCCCACCACTCATTTTAGCCTGGGTGACCAAGTATGACTCTGTCTCTAAAAATAAAATAAAATAAAAAATTATCCAGGTGTGATGATGCATGTCTGTAGTCCTAGCAACTCAGGGGGCTGAAGCAGGAGGACCATTTGAGCCTAGAAACTTGAGGCCACAGTGAGCTATGGTTGTGCTACTGCACTCCGGCCTGGGCAACAGAGCAAGACCCCATCTCTAAAACAGATCGATCAATCAATTGATAGCTAGAAAGAGAGAGAAGGGGAATGGGCTCTATGGCCAGCGCCTTCAGTGGTCTCAGAAGGGCTCTCACCTGGGAGGAGGAGGAGGCGGGATCAGAGCTAGATGAAGCGGCCTATGGGCAGCCGAGGCAGGCAGAAGTAGGCACCGGGGAAGAGGCTGAGGTTGATGGGGTTGCCATCCAGGCGGATGTCTTCCAGCTGCCTGCGGGTGTGCCTGTGCTCCTCAGCGTCACAGAAGGAGTCGCTCCGCATGGTCTCTATCCTGTTATTCTGGAGAGAACATGGCAGCTGAGCCCACCTAGGGAGTCTGCCCTTAGCCAGCACTGGAGGTTCACATCAATTAACCCACAGCCCTGGCTTTCCTGGCATAACCGGGGAAACCGATGCACCCGGGCCACACTACAAGGGCTGAGAAGAGGAGACCACGGAGGATGGGTGGAGAGAGAGGGAGAGTCTAAGAGGGATGCAGGGAAGAGGAGGAGGGAGAAGGAGGGAAAGAATGAAGAGAGACAGAGGGTAGGAAGAAGGGAGACAGAAAAGCAGTTGAGCCAGATGAAATAAAGATGTGGAGGGAGAGGAGGCCCTTCATAAAGAAGAAATGGGGGGAATTGAACTGGGGCCGTGGACAGTGATCTGGACAGGACCTGCCAGGCCGTGTCTCTAGTGAGCCCTCTCAGGAAGGAGGCCCCGCTGCAGCCTAGCTTCCCGCCTCTCTCTGCCACGACCTGCCCCTGTGATCTGACTTCCATCCCCTGTGCCTTTTGCTGCCCTTGCTCTGGGCGAGGCTCCTCACCTGCAGGTGCAGTGAGCGCAGGCTCAGGGGCAAGGGCCCAGGGACAGACTCCAGCAGGTTGTCAGCCAGGTAGAGAAACCGCAGCTTCTCCAGTGCCTGTGAAGAATGCAAAGGGTGGGCGAGGCAGGCGGTGCTGTGGGACTCTGGCCACGAGGAGGTGCCAGAGTCGGGGAGGTCAGAGTCAGGGGCCCCACTTGTTCACCGAGGATGCACCTAGCCTCGGCTCTGAGCCAGGCTCCGTGCTGGGCACTGCAGAGATGCCCGGGCCATTAAGGAGCTACAGACGCTAACTCCAGCCAGGCGCAGAAGAAGCTGCTACCAGTGGGGTGCCTCTGGAGCATGAAGGCGCCAGTCGGCTGTTTAATGACGACCGGGAGGTGCAGGGATAAGCAGAAGGGAGCTTTCGGAAGGGGTTTTCCCCAGTGACAAGTCTCCAAATGCTAGGCCTGGAGCATGTGCTCAGGAGCCATCCAGACCTGCAGAATGAGAACCATAGGCATACAGAAGCAGACCCCGGGTGCGAGTGACACAGAGCTCTCTGAATCAGGTCGGGTTAATCAGGGAGGGATTTGGGAAGCAATAAACCTTCAGCAGGGCTCAGAGCGCGGTGAAGCGTAATAGCTACCACTTATGCAGCATCTACTATGTATATTTAGTCCTCCTGTGCCCTTTGTGAATGCTGTCTTGCTTAATCCTCCAGCAACTGTGTCAGGTAGGCATCAGTACCCTCGTTTTGCAGATGACAAAACAAGATCAGAAAGGTTAGGTGACTCCCACAAACCCAGGTCTCTCTGGCTCCAAAGCCCATGCCTTATGCCGGGCTGAGAAAACAAACCTGAGCCAAGACCAAGAGGCCTCTCCTAAGATGGAGACAGCCAGCCCCAGCTAGGATGTTGCTGAGGCTGGATCAGCAGAGGACTTCCATGATCATGCAATCCCTGTTCTTCATCCAGAGATGGAGAAACTGAGGCTCGAGGTCACACAGCTGGCTTCTGATTTCCAGCCCAGTGTTCTTCCCACAGTGGTATCAACATTGTGTTCTGTAAAACTTCCTCAAGGACCACAGCAGACAGGAGAAGACTGAGGAGGTGGAAGGAATTTGGGGAAGGGGAGTGGGAGAGAGCAAACAGGCATGCCTCCATGCCCTCACCCTATTTCAAAAGGCAGCTCTAAATTGATTTATTTGAACTTATTATTTGTATTTTTAATTTTTTTTTTAGGCAGTGTCTTGCTCTGTTGCCCAGGCTGGAGTGCAGTGACACGATCATAGCTCATTGCAGCCTCAAACTCCTGGGCTTAAGTGATCCTCTCACCTCATCCTCCCAAGTAGCGGAGGTTACAGGCATGTACCACCCACACTCAACTAATTTTTTTTTTAAATTTTTTTGTGGTGATAGCATCTCACTATGTTGCCCAGTCTGGTCTTAAACTCCTGGGCTCATGTGATACTCCTACCTCAGTCTCCAAAGTAGCTGGGACTATAGGCACAAGCCACTACACCTGGCTAATTTTTTAATTTCTTGTAGAGACAGGGTCTTGCTATGCTGCCCAGGCTGGTTTTGAGCTCCTGGACTCCAGCAATCCCCCTGTCTCGGCCTCCCAAAATACTGGGATTATAGGCATGAGCCACTGTGCCCAGCTTCTCTTAACAATTTGATCATAGTTACCTGCATACACATGTTTATTGCAGCACTGTTCACAATAGCAAAAACATAGAACCAACTCCGCTGCCCATCGAAACTGGACTGGATAAAAAAATGTGGTACATATACACAGTGGAATATTATCCAGTCATAAAGAAGGATAAACATATGGACTATGCAGCAACTTGGATGGATTTAGAATCTATCATACTCAGTGATCTATCACAAAAAGAAAGGAGTACCACATATTCTCACTCATAAGTGGACCCTGAACATTTACCATAATACTATAAGAAAAGGATTGGGAGTAGTGAGACACTGCCAGGGGAGGAAGCGGGGGCACATAACATCAATAAGCGTCCCTGATCCCAGGCAAAGTGGGAACCAAAGGGAGGCCCAAACTTCACCTGTACAATGACCACTTGTATACCTAATCCTGAATTGTACCCTACATCTTTAAAATAAAAAAAATCAACAAACACACACACACACACACACACACACACACACACACACACAGAAAATGTGATCCTAGAAAGACTGTCACTTAATGGTGGGATTTGGAACCAGAAGGATATGTAGAGTTAGGGCTGAGGTCAGCACTACTGTGGGCCTAAGTCTTGTGTAAGTGAAGTTTTCAGGGGGCAGAACCTGCGAGTATGCAGGGGGCAGTGATGTGGCAGGGTGGTGAGTTGAGCAGACGCACAGAAGAAAGCCAGGACAAGGGACTGTGTACCCACAGGGGGAGAGGGAGAGTTGCTCACTTTGATTTCTGAGCTGCATCAGGGTACAGGTTGGGCACATCAAATCTGAAAATACAAAGTCCAAAATGCTCCACAATCCAGAACTTCTTTTTTTTTTGAGTTGGAGTCTCACTCTGTCACCCAGATGGGAGTGCAGTGGCCGCTCCTGGCCACCGCAGCCTCGACCTGCTGGACTCCGGAGATCCTTCCGCCTCAGCCTTCCGAGTAGCTGGAGCTACAGGCACGCGCTACCACGCCCGGCTAATTTTTGATTTATTGTAGAGATGGGGTCTCGAACACACAGGCTCAGGCAGTCCACTCACCTCGGTTTCCCAAAGTGCTGGGATTACAAGCTAAGCCACCGAGCCTGACCAGAACTTCTTAAGCACCAGCATGATGCTCAGAGGAAATGCTTTGGGAACATTTTGGAATTTGAATTTTCAGAAAAAGAATTCACATCCATTGATGGGCCCATGAGGCCTGGTGGTGCTGTTTTCCATCTGTGGCGCTTCTTGAAATGGCAGTGTAAAACATCCTTTTCTTGGGTCAGAATTAGTTTCTCGTGACCCAGAGAATCTTAATAAGCAACAAGTGGGAAAGGATTTTAAAAATGGGGTCGATTTATGTACCCCAGGACAAGGTTGAAGCGGGGACACCCCATGAGGGTGGAGTGTGTGGGTGGTGCTGGAGGTGTGTGGTGGTGGTGGTGGTGGTGGGCGGTGGGCTGAAGGGCCTGACTCACCCTGAAGGCTTCAGGTTGTATTCCTGAGCTCTGGAGCCTATTCAGGCGGACATCCAGGATCTCGATGCCGTTGGGCAGCACGGGCAGAGCTGCCAGCTGGTTCTCTGAGAGGATCAGATCCCGAAGGGCAGCCAGCAAGAGGAAGGCATCATTATCAATGGAGGATATGGAGTTGCCAGAGAGGTCAATCCTCTTCATCTTTGCTGAGGGACATTGGGGAGAACAAAGAGAGAAACTGGAACATGCCATCTTTCCTTGTCCCCTGTTGGGTCTGCCTCCATACCTTGTTCCATCCTTTTCGAGATAAGGGAGTTTTGTTTTTGTTTTTTTTTTAGTGAGAGTCTCATTCTGCCTCCCAGGCTAGAGTGCAGTGGCATGGTCACAGCTACCACAGCCTGGACCTGCTGGGCTCAGGCAATCCTACCACTTCAGCTTCCTAAGTAGTTGGGACTACAGGATGCACCACCACGCCTGGCTGATTTTTCATTTATTGTAGAGATGAGATCTCATCACCTTGCTCAGTCTGGTCTTGAACTCAGGGCTCAGGCAATCCTCTCTCCTTGGCCTCCCAAAGTTCTGGTGTTACAGGTGGGAGCCACCACACCCAGTCAAGATAAGGGAATTCTAAGTCCCTTTCCTTGGAGTCCTGCCCTGTGTCGGTGGCTGCCCACCTTGGATAGACACTCTCTTGAGAGTGAGAACCAACAGACCCAGGAGTCCCTGGATTCATTCCACTTCCCCTTGTTAGTCACACAAAGGGGCACTGAGGCTGTGGGTAATTAGTGGTAGACTGGATTAGAGCCCAGCTCTTCTGTCTCAAGCAGGGCATAACACATAAAGAAGCAAAACAAACAAACAAAAACCATGTAAACAGCATGAGTGTCATGGACCTCATGTAGGACAATCTGTCCAGAGGTCAGCTGGCCATAGAGCTATAGTTGCTGGGACATTCTGAGAATGTTGGCTTGATTATAACTTCCCTTCTCAGCTTCCCAGATCTTTTGGGAGAACAAACGACTTCCACCATCTAAACTCTTCAAAAAAGAGAATTAGAGATACTTAGGGCTACTTTCCTTTGGTAGCTGGAGAGACTGAGAGCCAAACGGAAAAGACTAACACAGTTAAGACTGTTCACGTGGTTTGCTGGCATGAGAAAGGACCTGGCCCCCTCTCTTTTCCCAGCATGTTACATACTCAGTCCTTTGAAGTCTTCGGCCCTGATATGACTGATACGGTTGAAACGGGCATAGAGGTAGGCAGTCGCCCGGGGAAGAGGAGGAATACTCTCTAGCTCAATGTCGTCACAGTACACAGAAGAACCGAGGCACACACAGACCAGGCAGGTGGGCAGACCTGGATCAGGTGGAAGACAGAACAAAGGGAGATCCCTTTAGCCTTTGGGACCAGTGGCCGTCACCCCACAAAGTATCTGAGCCACAGTCAGCTGTGCCTTCTTGATAGGCTATGGATTGCTCCCCAGAACAGATGGGTGCCATGCACCCAGACAGTGCTGTTGGCTGCTCCCAGTCTGTCATTCCACCCCAGACCCCAGAGAAGCAGTCCACCCACAGTAACTCTCTAGTCTAAATCCATTTGTGCTGTCATCAGATTCTGGTCATACATTTTCATACATTTCCTTAGTCCTATGTGGGTGTTTTTAGGACACTCATTGGTTTCTTTTCAATAAGGTTCCTCTCTGGTCCCAAAAAGTACAGTGAAGATGAAACAAAGCCAGAATTAAGTGAAATAGTCAGTGATTGCTTGCTCTGCCCCAGCCTTGTGGGAGAGAAATTAAATATGTTGTGTGCAGCTCCGAGAAGTGTAGTAGAACCAAGGTGGACAATGTCTGCCAGCATCCATCTCCCCTTCTTATGGTATTAGCATCCTGATTTTCCATTGAGACACAGCCCAACCCTGTTCTCAGTCCATGACCCCATCTCTGTTTCCAGTGGCCACGGGACTTAGGCCGGATCATCCTACACAGACTGACCTTAAAAGTTGGGAAGACTTTATTGACTCATACAGTTAAATAGTGCAGGTGGTTTCTGTCACTTGGTATCACAAGGCACAGAGATTACTGAGAGGACAGTACCAGTCCGACTCAAGGAAGAAGTCTGGTAGCAGTGACTTGGCCTCAAGACGAAAGGGCAGCTCTTCTCAGCCAGCAGTGACCAGGCGGAGAAAGTGGAGTGGGGAGGGGCGGGGGTGGAGCTCCAGCATCCTTCTTATCCCAGGGCCTCGAATGGTAGGTGCTTCTGAGGCCTTGGTGGTCTCTACAAGCCTAAGGATACTGTGGCTCTGAGAATTCATGGATGTCCTCTGAATGGTTTCTCTGCGGATGCCCCAAGACCCCAAATCCACCCAAGGCAGGCATCCCAAGAGAAGAACAGGGAAGCTACGGGCATGCGAGTCCAGAACAGACTTCATTTGCTCTCCGCCCCAGTTTTGGCCTCCCTGTAGAGTGCCAAGCTTGCTCTGCCCCATTACTGCCAGGGCTGCCAGCACCCAGGAGGGCACCAGGGAAGGAGAGAGGCCTGCTAAGGAGGGACTTTGGAGCTGAAAAGCAGTGTGACTGCTTCATTGGCTCCTGTGCCAAGTGACAGCCGCAAAGTTATTTATTCTTCTCTACAGGCTTTTAATTGTCTCTCATCTAATTACCACTCAATCCGTTCCCCCAGTGATGCTATTAATTAAGGCAGGGTGGCTTTGCTGGGGCATAAGGGAATTCTTGCATTTCTTTGCTTTCTACTCAGTTTGTGCATTCAGGCAAAAATACTGGGAACAGCCAGCTTCTCTCTTGGATTTTTTTTTTTCTGTTCTTACTGTGGCTATTTCCCCTCATCATCCTGCTGGTAAGGGTAGCCCCAGCCCTCCACACTCCACCCAAGTTCAAACTGTGGTGCCCCCTAGTCCTGGGTCATAATTGTCTGCCTATAAACTATGAGACTGTGACCATGTGACTGTGTACTTACCATGGTTGGCTGGGGAAGTCAGTAGTCCCAAGGTAGTAGGTCTGGCCAACATGGGGTTTGGTGAGGGTGTCCTTAGAGCCTTGGTGCTCTTGGTGAGACTGGTCCTGGTTGGAGGAGCCAGGCTAGTCACTTTAACCTGGAGACACAGCACATAGTACACCATAGGCCAGCTTTTGCCTGAGAGGGACTTAACTTTGGACTCTGGGAAACTCAGTGACCAGTTTCAAACTTGCAAAGAGTCCCTGTGGAGATGGGAGAAGGAGGGATAGCAGAAAGAGTGAGCAAGAGCAGGGAGCAGGGGCTTAGAGAACATCAAGTCTTGCATCTTCAAGATTTGGATGGAGAAACAGAAGCCCAGAGAGGGAAGGGACGAGACCCATGGAGCCAGCGGACGGCCAGGGCAGAGCTGGAACCCAGGTCTTGGGATTCCCCAGTTGTTCCCTCGTTCCACACTGCCCAGGCTCACACAGTAAGTGAGTGGGGGCCTCTGGGCTTGCAGCCTATGCTGCTGCAGGTCAGGCCCTTCAAGGGCCTGGAGGCACAGGGGAAGAACTTCCCCCTGGAGGACAGTTTCAGAAAAGAGACAGGGGAGAATATGGGGACATTGCTGACCCCTGCCCCAGTGAGACATGACTCAGGATCCTGGTTGACAGCAGGAGAGGATGCATGACTTCTGAAGGAGGAGGGGTCCCACTGAGTTTGCCACAAATGGACAAATAAATTGCACGTTCGTGTTCCCTTTCTTAGTATCATCTAAATCAGTGATTCCCAACCTTTTTGGCACCAGGGATCAGTTTCATGGAAGATAGTTTTTCCACGGGTGGGAGGTGAGGGATCATCAGGCATTAGATTCTCATAAGAAACCCACAACCTAGATCCAGTTCACAATGGAGTTCACGCTCACGTGAGAATCTAATGCCACTGCTGATCTGACAGGAGTCAATAACCCGCTGCTCACCTCCTGCTGTGTGGCAGGTTCTAACAAGCCACGGACTGGTACTGGTCTGCAGTCTGGGAGCTGGGGACCCCTGACTTTAAATGTCAAGTTCCTACAGAGGGACAGGAATGTCCACCTCATAGAGAAGGAGATGGAGGCTGAGACACCTGCGTGGCGGGGGAGGCGGAGAGGGTCAGGCGCCAACTCCCAGGTTGATGCAGGAAGTGCAGTGGATCTGCTGTGTCCTTACCTCAGGGGACTGGTCCCCGTAGTCAGTGAGCTCCTCATAGTTGCTCAGGTCAATGACCTCACCGTAGCTCTCCGGGTTCAGGGCTTCATCCCCCAGAGGCAGGGCTGCATAAGCATCACCTTCCTCTTCTCTCCTCTTCCTCATCTTCTTTGGGAGAGAAGCTGTCCCTGCCTCTTGCAGCATCAGGGCCAGGAGACCCAGGAAAGCCGGGAGCCTCATGGGGGTCCTGGGGTTAGGAGTGGGCTGAGAATGGGGCCGAATCACATCGGTGTCTGGTTCTGGGGAGTGGGCAGGAGGAAGAGCCATGGTCCGAGGGGCAGGCTTTGTGGAGGGCTGTGAGGATGGCTCACAGCCTCAGCCTCACTGCAGACTCCTATGCCAGTCACCACACACCCCTACGTGCCCTCATTACATGCACAAGCTCCCTGGAGGTTGGGACTGTATCTAGGGGGATCTCCCACAACCACCCCATGCGCATTTTTCTACATGATCATCCCCAGCCTGATATCCACTCACACAGGCATGTGCACACCCTGGCATGTGCACACACAGTCACGAAGGTCCCCCTGTCTACACAGCAGGCACACACAGGTGCATGTACACAGATGCTCTCTCTCATACAACCTCACTCTCAGAATATGGCTACTCATCACCAAGCAAGACTTAGAGACACTTCAATATCAAGGAATCTCACGGTTTGTTAAAAGATCATTCGTTCGTGCATTTGCTCAACAAACACGTGTGTGGTGTCTGTTAGGTTCCAGCCACTAGACTTGTCTTTGGGGAAGCAGGATGAATAAGGCACAGCCCTTCCTAGCAACACCCAGTCCATTTGGGAGACATGGGTTTACAAACTGACACACGGTGTAAAGAAGAATGTCAGTTCATAATATATGCTGCTTTTTCAACACAGATGATTACACATACTAGTGAGTTCATTGTGTGTGGTGGTGGGAGTATGTATGCATCTGGAAAGTTCTTGGATATTTGCTTACATCCGTGTGTGCACAGGTGCCTATGTATATGTGTGATGTGCATGCGAGTACAGGCATTCGTGTAAATCGTCCACATTACACAGACGGGTCAAGAAATGCGTGTGGTGTGGGTGCTGAGGCAACCAAGTACAAATGCACACAACAGTCACACCTGGTGTAAGCCTGGTAACTCAGCCCTCCCCAAAGCCAGCTGCACAAGCTCCTAGCAGATCTTCCCGCTTTCTCAATTTCAGCTGGGCAAGGGGCAAGCCCCCAGCAGTAGCAAGAGGGGTCTCTTCATCTTACCTCCCGAACCTCACTCCAAACCGAATCATATCACCTTCAGACATCCTAAGACAGAGTTTACTACCCATCCAGAAGCCTCCTCCAACCTCTCTGGCCAGAGGCCTGAACTCTCTTCATTCTCCCTGCCCAATCCCTACTCCAGCCTGAACTTTCCCCTCATTTGCATTCCAGGGGGCCTAAGGCCTCAAACCTTGAACCTTACCCCTTCAGTGCTCTTGGTTCCTGAACGGAGAGGTGGGGACTCTGAGGAGGTTGTCTGAAATGGGGCTTGGGTTAGACTAGAGGCGCAGGCAGCTGGGGGAGGGCGAGGAGTTGGCCAGTCAGTCAGACATGTGACCAATCAGACTCCTCATTCTCCCTGAGGTCCAGCTGTTTCCCCTCCTCTTTCCTCAGGGGTCCCCTGCCCGTGGCTTTGCTGGACAAAAGGGAATTCTTCCTCTTTCTCTTCACTCAGGCAGTCCCCCACCTCCTGTTCCTGCTCTGTCTCTCCCCTAGTCTGTCAGATGTCCCCCATCCTGGCCCACCCTCCTGATATGTCCACATCTCCAAGAGAGGGGTCCACCCCTCGGGTTCTGAGCCTTCAGGGAAGACTGGAGTGGGAGTATGTGGAGGAACAGAGCTTGCCTTTCTAGCTTTTTTCTCTGACCAGAGAGTGATGAGGCTCTGGCTTCCTGATTGGAATCCAAGGGTAGAAGACGAGCTAAGGAGGCACCCTGGCCAGCCACCACCCCTACCCAGAGTCCCACTCCCCTACATAATTGAACAAAATCACGAGTGGCAGGAACTGAAGGCCCAGGTGGATCAAAGAGAAGGTGAGTGGGGGATGAGGCCGATGATCATGAGCATACAGGAAATTCTCTAAAGAATTTGGGAGGAAAGAAGTGGAAGGGGAGGGGCCCTAGAAAGGACTCCCTGATCATAAGCACCGGAAGACATTGTGCAGGGTCATCCGGGGCCTGGAAGCATCCAGGATACTTCCAGGTTCCAGGATACCCAAATTCCCAGATGCTCAAGTCCATGAGAGAAAATGTCATACCACATACTTGCACGTAGAACCTCCCCACACCCTCCTGCACACTTTGAGCCTCTCTAGATGACTTATAACCCCTAACACAATGCCTACACATCACTTCATTCATGTGGATTCGAAGTAGTACCCAGCGTGTGGGAAATTAAAGTTGCGCTTTCTGGAACTGTGTGGAATTTTTTTTTTCTGAATATTTTCAATCTGTGGTTGGCTGAATCCATGGATGGGAACCCACAGATCGCATCAGAACATACCCCCCTTTCCTTGGTGTCTCGGTCAGGCTGTGGGGCAAGTTCTTGCTAAAGGCAGGGTGACTAAGATGTCCTCTCCCAAATTCTGCCAGCCTGGACCCCTGCATGTGCCCGGTTTCTTCAGTGATGCTCCTTGCTCCCTCCTCCCTCCTGCTGACCAGATACTGAATCCCAGCTGCAAGACCCCTGAAGTTCATCTAGTCCAAACCTCTTATGGCATAGATGAGGAACGTGAGGCCAAAGAGGGGAGGTGACTCGCCCAAGGTCACAAAGCCAGGGCCAGGGCTTGGATTTCCTGGCTCTCAGACCAGAGGGTTTTCAACCTCATCCTGGGAATCCCAGGTCCATGTTCTCCAGGTGCTCGGAGCAGATGGCCTTGGCAGAACTCATCTCTGCCTTGGCACACCAGGTGAAGAGGCAGGTCTAGTAGCCTGGCCCAAGAGGGGAACTCTTGGCTTGCAGTGTTCCTCGGCACCAGCTGGTGTGGGAGGGGGCTTTCCCCAGTCCAAGGGCCCGGTCACCAGGGCAACACATGTTCCTGTGCCCCATCTGGGGAGAGCCACCATCGGGGGCTCTACTGGGCGAAGGGAGAGATAGCCCAAGAGCCTGAGGGCACTCAGGAGGCAGATGGCACATTTAGCGAGCCAGGTGCTTCCATCTTCTCTCCACAGCCTGGGCTTTGTGGCCAGGGGCCCTCCGCCCTCACAGCCAATGGGGCGCAGCTCCTCCTCCCACCCCACCCCATTTATTCCTGCAAATGCAACTGTTCATTTGATCCCCCTGCCACCTGCTCCCGTTCTCCCTATTTTCTCATCCTGCCGACTCTGCTGGTTGCCAAGTGCCCCCACCCCTACAAGGGGTGCTCTCCAACACCTGCTCCCCTCACTCCCGCCAAGAGCCACCTTCTGACACAGGCTTTCATCCTAGACCCTCGCCCAACTTCTACTTTTGTTACCCAAGCTTGGGGGTCACACACTCCAGTTCCCACAGATTCCAGACAGTGTCCACGGAAGTGTGCGTGTGACCCGCAGAAGAAGCGACTAACAGGCAGGCTGTTGTTTCCGCTGGTTCCACTCCCCGAGAGTCTGGCAAGGGCGGCAAGGAGGCGGGGGAGGCGTCCTAATCCTAATCTCTCATTAGGAGAGGCACAAGGCATGCTGATGAATTGGAGGTGGCAGGCGGTATGGACAGAAGTCTGGCCAGCTAACCCCATTGCTGCTCCTTTCATGGACAGGGAGAGGGGGTGGGAAGTTCAGGAACTCTCCTGCTTTTTGGAGTATGGGAGTATGTTCCTTACTGAGGCCTTGTAGTCACATAACTCCATGACCAGAACGTGACCCTCTCTTCTTTTGTTTTTTTTTTGAGTTGGAGTCTCACTCCGTCACCCAGGCTAGAGTGCAGTGGCACGCTTATGGCCACACCAGCATCGATCTGCTGGGCTCAGGTGATCCTTCCGCCTCAGCCTTCCAAGTAGCCAGAACTACAGATGTATGCTACCATGCCCGGCTAATATTTTCATTTATTGTAGAGATGTTGCAACCACCATGTTGCCCAGGCAGGTCAAGAACCCCTGGGCTCAGGCAATCCTCTTGTCTTGGTGTCCCAAAGTACTGGGATTACAGGCTTGAGCCACCGCGCCTGGCCGACCCTCTCCTCTTTTTCAGTCACACATGCTCCACAGGGTGGACTCCCACACCTTCCTGCCTCTGCTCATGCTGCCTTCCCTCCTGGTTATATAGCTGTTTGTTTTTTCCCTTCTCCCACCTGGCAAAATCTGATCATCCCTTCAGAGCCAGCTCACGTGATAGGAGCCTTTCTGGCTTCCTCCAGGCAGGGGTAAAATCCCTCTCCTCTTTGCCGTTTGTACACAGCATTTACAAACACTTAAAACATAGAATGTCAACTCATGGCTCTTTCCCCCTTTACCGAGTTATGAGATTCTCAAGGACATGGGGTATATATTAGCTACCACTGAATTATTTAATTTTTTTGTAGAATCAGGGTTTTACTATGTTGCCCAGGCTGGCCTTGGGCTCCCAGCCTCAAGGGATCCTCCTGCCTTGGCCTCCCAAGGCGTTGAGATTACAGGTGTGAGCCACCATGCTCAACCCTACCCTTGAATTCTTGGCTGGCAACCAGGCATATGAACATTTGCTGAATTGGAGTTGGTGTTCAGCAGGCAGGTAGGAGAGGCGAGGGAATCATCTGGCAGTTTTCATCCTAAAGAAGGTGGTGTAGGTTGGGAGGACCATGAAACCCACTTCTGGAACCAAGTTTGCCTCGGAAGAGAGCTGCGAGCACTCTGCTGTCACCCTTCTGTGAACTTCCACTGGCCCTTTGTTCTCTGCCCTCATTATGGCTCTTTTATGTTTTGTGTGCACACTGTACCTCCCCAATTAGTCTATAAGCTTCACTTGGTGAGGAAAGACAACTGTTTTGTGTCTTTCTGTGCCTGCTTCAGTACTGAGCTTCTGGGAGACCCTTATCAATTTAGTAATTTGTGGGTTGAAAGAGATTGGAGCTTTGGGCTTCAAATACAGCTGTCAGATTTCTGGTCTGACTTTAGGATTTTTTTTTGGCCAGGAGAGTCTTGTGGGACTTAGGAATAATTTTTTGATTGGGTGTAGTGGCTTATGGCTGTGATCCCAGCACTTTGGAAGGGCATGGCAGGAAGATTGCTTAAGGTCAGGAGTTTGAGACCAGACTGGGCAACATTGAGAGACCCTGTCTCTACAAAAGGAAAAAAATATCAGCCAGGTATGGTGGCATGTGCCTGTAATCCCAGCTACTCGGGAGGATTGTTCAAGCCCAGAAGGTCCAGCTTACAGTGAGCTATGATCACACCACTGCACTCCAGTCTGGGTGATAGAGCATGTCCCTTTCTCAAAAAGAAAAAAAAAGAGGAATAACTTTTCATGAGCGTTGTGAGTGTTGGGAGAGTGTTCCAAAAAAGGCTTTGGGATAGTTTTCTTGGGAGTTTCTCAAGAATAGGATCTTTTCTCCACCCATCACCTAATCACCTCAGAACAAATAAGTGGGAAACGGGGTAGGTGACAAGATGACTTTAAGGTGTTATTCTTGACCTATTCACATTGTCACATTCAACCAGGGTGTATTTAATATTACTTTATTTCCTCTGCTGTGAAGCGTGTTGAAATATGAAAGTTGTTTCACAAAGTTAACATGGTCTTCAAGAGAGAATAGATACATGTGCAGAGTTCACATACACACCTACTTACGCACCTGTATAGGTAGATGCCAACAGCACTGAGGGAATGATCTTGTGTAAGGAGGAAGGGGCTTTTTTAAAGCCAAGGGAAACCAGCACATTGTGTGTGTGTGTTTTGGGGGAGGGAGCCTGTGGAGCCAATTTAACTTGAACCCCCTCTGGAGAAATGGAAGGTGGAGGGGCAGATATATTCTAGCGGGGGCAATGGGAGGATGATTGTGTTCCTGCTAAAAGAAAGTACTTACATTGGTTTGCAGGACTGGGGGGGTGATGACCTCTGCCCTCTGGGGAGTCACAGGAGCTGCACTCCCTGAGGGCCTCAACAAAGGGGCTGAGCTTGCAAGATGTGAATAAGGTACAGGAGGGGGGCTTATCCAGGCCATAGCACCAGGTTGCTTACAGCCATAATAATATACTGACTTTAAGCAGGAGCCTTGGAGAAACCAGCTGCAGCTAGGAAGGATGAGGCAATTGCAGAGGAGCACAGGGGAAGGAGGTGGTGATGAAATGGGTCCTGTTTCCTATAATTAGCAAGAGAAAGGTGAGAAAGAATAATGGGAATTTCTTGAAGTTAGGGACCCTGCTTAATTGAATTTTTTAAACACCTCTGAAACTGTTCTCATCCTAACTTGGGTGTGGGCATGGTGTCTTACTCTTTTCTAGAATATCCGCACCCTCTCCCGCCCCCTCCCCCACTAGCAAACACACTCGGTGCTGAGGAAGGGCAGCATCCCTTAGAGGAAGTTAAGGGGGAAGGTGAAGGTGAGCCAGCCCTGTGGGGGCTGGGTTCCACTTGGAGACCTGCCAAGTTGCTCACGGGGCCAGGCAAGGAGGGTAAGGAAGCCTCGGAGGGAGGGACAGTCCATCCAGAGAATAAATTACTGCAAGGAAAGGGGATCATATTTAGGACTTGTCCTGCATTCGAATGGTTTTAAGTGTGAGCGCTAGAGGGACCTAGGAGGAGCATCTTACCCACCGGCTCTGCTTACAGATGTGGGAGCTGAGAAGGGACCCGGCAAGGGCCCCCCGCAAACGGGAACAAACTATCCTCATCTGTGTTCCTAAAGGCTCAAGGATCTTTCCAGTTGGGACCCCATATCCCCTCGCGGGCCCTACACAACCACCTTACGGAGAGGGTGAGGATGATGACTGGAGCCAGCTGTTACCTATGCCAGCCACTAGGTGTCGCTGACGTGTCTGTCCTAGAGGCGGAGGCTAATTTTCCAATGTGCGAGAGGCTTCTGGGAGATTTCCAGATGCTCCGCCCCTCCTTCCCGGTTGGGGTAGACCGAGTGGGCCATCCACACTGATGGAGAGCAGATGGAAGGGGCGGGGCTGGTGCCTCTCAGCCCTCCACGGTGAACACTGTCCCTTGGGCCCCAGGCCTCCGGTCGGGCAAGAGGGGCTGCGGGACCCATCTCCGCCCACGCGGGTCTGTCCCTGGGCGCTGACCTCCTCCCTTCCCCTGCTGGCTGATTCCTAGTTCCTTGGGTCATTCTCCTCCTTGGCTGTTCCTCTCTGAGGCCCAGTCAGGAAGGCGTGAGCTGTGTGCACCCTGAAGGAGGAGGAGGAGGGGGCCCCCACTCATCCCTGCGAGGGCATGGCCAGAGGCAGGCCCTTGTGGGAACCCTGACCCTCCGACCTGCGCCGTCATTCCCTCCCACTTCCTTCCCGGAGAACAGCGGCCAGCAGAGCCAGTGCGATGTCTGGTGCTGGGGAACCAGGCAGTGGAGCAGCAGTTTTGGAAAAAGGAATCCTTGGCTGGGGAGATCTGGGTTTCTCGGCCTCTTTGGGCCAGAGCTGCCAGAGATGAAGGAGTCTCCAGCTGGACTTCATGGACCCCCCCTCTGGGCTGCCCCTGACCATCTTCAGCTTGCTGGGCCAGGACCAAGATCAGGTGTCAGTCCACAGCCCAGATTTACCCAGGAGTGGGTGGTGGAGGAGAAGGGGACGTTGAGTCTTTGGACACACATCTGTGTTTCTGGAGCTAACGGAGACCACAGAAGGCCAGAAGTTTGGGTGTGCACTGGGTGTCTTTGAACTGGGCGGGACCAAATCGAGCTCTTGGAAGTCTTGCTCCTGAGGCTGCAAGCAGTGTAGATGGCTTTTCCCTGCCTCAGAAGGGTGGGATTAAGAGAGGCGAAGCTGGGAGCAAGAAAGGGAGACAGAGAAAACCAACAGTGGGCACAGGTGCCTGCGCCCCCAGCCTTCAAGTGCCGTCAGAGGAGATCCAGCACAGAGTGAGGGTTAGATGACCACCGACTGCAGGAGGCGGAAGCACATCATGAGGTCCAGCGGGATGGGTGGCTTCAGGTAGTTGCCGTCCAGACGCAGGTAGCGCAGGTGTGGCACATTCTCCAGATCTGAGGAGAAGTCGTGGAAGGCGACCAGGTTGTTGGGGCAAATCTGGGTCCCGTTGATTTCTATGGAGAAAGAAGGGGAGAAGTCATCAGGGATGTAGAGAAATCAGGACAGAACGGGGCTGGAGGCAAAGATGAGGAAGGAGAAGGGGGAGGCAACCAAGAGTGGGGACTCCAGACTTCTCCTTTCTGGAACTGGCTGTCTTTGGGAATGTATGACCATAAACAAGCTGCCTTGGCCTCCAGGCTCAGTTTACTCATTTGCAAAATGAAGTAAATTGATGTTGATCAATAATTACTACTGTAAATTTACTCTGGAGAATCAGAAATAAGCTTTGAGCTGGGCCTTCCAGAATAGGTAGGATTACAAGTGGAGACCTAGACCTGTGGGATAATGTTCTGACAGAGGGATCTGTTTGAAGTTGTGGAGGCCAAAATTCTGCTCATGACCGAATCTGGGAATAGTAATAGTGCAATGTGATGTACTAAGGAGAGGAAGCTCGGAAGGTAAGTAGGCTTTCAAACAGTATGTCGCTAAGGGTCAGGGCTTGAACCTCTAGTCTGAGGAATGGCATCGAGCAGGGCTGTCTTTGTGAGAGTGATGTTAGGATAAACGAACCAGAGCATCCTGGGGTGTTAAATCCGGAAGGGCCCTTCGTGATCCCCTTCATCAGGTTTATACTTTAGACGATGAATCTGGCTACAGTGTGGAGAAGCAGTGGCGTAGGGCGAGACCTGAAGCCCGCTGGTGGATAGGAGAATTGTTCCAGCGTTGTTCCTGTGAGTTGGATGTGAGGCATGAGAGTGGGTGGAAGATGTTATCTGAAAGACAGATGACAGGAAGAGGAAAGAGGGTCTGGAGAGAACTCAGGCGCCCTGGGGACATGACTAGCCTATTAATTCTGAAGGGTCCATGCCCGAGATTCCATTTTCCCATCACCTTTTGTTAGATGGCATCAGGCATGTCAGCTTCTAAATGAATGGTTTTCTTCTCCCTAACCCTTGCCTCATGCATCATCTATGGAGGAGGAGGGAGAGGAGGAGGAGGGGGAGGAGGCGGAGTTGTCATGGTCCTTGTTTTCTTCCTCCCCCATCACAGGAGTAGCAGGAGGGTCCTGACATGGGTAGAATTTCCCTTACGGGCTTGGTGACTTTGGGCTGTTGCCTGACCCGCTACCCTGACTCCCAGTTCTTCAACCTGTGAAACGGTGAGTGGTACCTGCCCTGTACATCAGATGAGAGAATGTTGGCGAAAGCATTTTGAAAACTGTAAAGGCCAGTATTAGTGGTGGTCTTATGGACATTGCTAAGAACATAATGGACCAGGTTCCATTCAGCCCATTCTCTCTGTTAGGGTTACAGGAAACAGGCTGGAGGGGGGTGGGCACGTGTGGATGGGGCATGATTTCTCTGACTTCAACCTGAGGAGGCTGGGATATCCCCAGCAACCTGTTCTTCCACAATCTGGTAGAGAACTGTCAGCCATGTTTTAATCGAGTAGCCTTTCTGTGTATATTTCGGCCTACACAGCTTTCTGGGGGTAACATGTTCCATTTTAATGTGCTACCTACAGGGTAAAATTAGACAGTTTTTCTCTTTTCCTGAATCTGTTTCTTGCAAGATTTTTAACCCATCACCTCCACTTGTAATTATCCTGGATGAATGAACAGACCTGTTCTTCCATGCATTTGTTTCTTTTTTTTTTTTTTTT